ATGCAAAGAGGAGATGTGTTGGGGTTTGAGCCAAAGTTAGCTGCTCCTTATGGGGCCAAGGTTATGGTGAGGAAAAGACAATTGGAAGGGCCCAAGCTGGACGATTTGACACCAAAGTGGGTACATGGGTACTATGTTGGGCGGTCAGAAAGCTTGAGCAAAGGACATTTGGTATTCGTTCAGGAGGAGGATAGTGGACGTTTTATACATACTCTTCATGTTCGAGCCGGATTACATGATCCTGGTCCAGTAGAAGCGGATGTAGATGCTGATGAGCCAGCGGGACCTAGCAGAAGAGTTCGAGGGAAATCCGCAGGCTCAGGAGATGTGGTCGCGTTGTCCAAGGCTGTGATCCTCGATGATGCGGACTACAAAAGGCGAGCGGAGCAGTTAATGACGGCGTGGTCACAGGAGGAGGCTAAGGTGTTGATCAAGGAAGTTTGTCAGCAGCTACCAGCGTCAGAAAACGTATATGGAATGTTCAGGTATGGTGGGAAAGCAGGGGTAACTCGCGCCACATTAGAGAGACCCTGGTTCACTGCAGTTCTGTTGAAGCTGTTAAAGGACAAAGCGCCAGATGCAGAGTTCGCATCCATCTATGTTTCCATCAACAACCAGCGAGAAGTCCACATCGACCGGAATAACGCCATGGGAACAATTAACTACATATTGCCACTGAGTATGCCGCGTCGTGGGGGTGAAATATGGCAAGAGCTACGTGATGGAGATGTTGTATCCGGTCGAGTAACTGAACTTACTTCGCAGGATGGAAAGACGAGGTATGGGTGTGCTTATCCATTGCAAGCTGGGGAGATCTTCTGCTTGAATCCACATCGAAGACACGCTGTATTACCTTCTTCTGGGGATCGATTGGTGTTGGTGGGTTATACTCCAGGAATGCTTCAGAACCTACAGCGCACAGACAGAGCACTATTGTGGAAGTTGGGTTTCCCTATGCCACTACGCGATGAGGAGGAAGGTGGTGATGTAAGAGTCAGTATGTTGAGCGTGCGAGATCTCCATGGCAGGACAGAGGACAAGGGCATCATCGTGGAGGATGCTGGATATTCACGGGATCCTGGGAGGAGCAAAGCTGCATCTACTACTAGCAGTACGGCGAGTGAAAGCAAGCCAGATATACCTAGTGAAGATTGGCTGTCATGGGAGCTTTACTTGAGCCTGGATGGAGTTGATTCAGGAGCTGCTTTGGTGGGTACAGATTCCTGGGATGAAGTGGTGCTACGCAAGGCAGAAGTGGGGTTCACTGAGAATGTGGAAGAGATCCTGAATGCCTTGAATAGCCCGCTAAACATTGTGCACACAGTGAATCCCAAAGAGGTTGTGCAGTATTTTGATGAGTGGATACCGTC